CTTGTATGTGTGGATGGTGTAATGGATATTTCAATTTCATTTCCGTTCCGTATATTCACGTACGCGATAATACAGTTTGGAAAGGTAGGAATTAACCTTTTCTCCTCCTAACTATAGGTTAATTAGTAAAACTTGTTTTTACTAAACAATTATTATCTAAAATATATCTAAAAATATTTTCTGGCTCTAAATAATAATAAAATTGCCTCACAAAGATTGTTTGCCTCAAAACGTTATCTTCGAGAAATACCATGAAGTTTTTACGTAACAATTTTTGTTCATCTTTATATATCGTATATGATAGAATAAAATACACAGGCGAATATTAAATGTTTCCTCAGTTAGCAGTTCATATTGAGGAAAAAATATTGTAGTATATTTAAAGATGTATTGTTTAAAGCAAGCTATCAATACATTACGAAAACACTTTACTTTAAGCTTAGTAGAAAGCATTCAGTTAGTTATGTGTCATACATGATACACGCTTGGGCGATCACGGCTCTTTCAATTCATCACTGATCAAGCAGAAGATTTTTTCCGCAGTAGATTGCCATATGTTTCTGCGAGAGACTGGTTATCAACCAAGTCTTAAAGGTCCAAGATTGTCCTACTATTTACTCCATAGCTGAGGGATAAAACATGCATTCATACGTTTTCAAGGTTATTTGCACCGAAGTGAATGTAAAGAAATCGATTGGAATTCGAACTTGACTCTTCGATTTCTTATTCTTAGTCGATACCATTACACTGCAATGAAGAAAACATTACTGTATACAAAAAGAGGGCTAGCTGTACAGCTGAATATAAAGCAAGAAACTACAATGTCCACACACCCAATCTTTAACTAGTCATTTGCTTTGGCCGATTCGTATTATATTTCTCTACAGCACTGATTTTATATTTCCCAAATAGTGTTTTACCATTATTGATATCTCCTTCCTGTTATACTTCTTTCTTATGTAGTGTACATGATTATGATAGAAATATGTTAAAGCATATGTAAGTATGATTGTTTAGCCAGTAGCAACGAATTTAGTTGGTATTTCTTTCGTTAATTTATTTTACAGTATCATTTATAATAATAATCATCATAGTAATGATAATAATAATTTATCTGGTTAGCTATGAGCAAGACAATAAAGCTACTAAGATGCAAGCGGTTACTGCGTGTTAGAAAATATGATTAAAATAAATCATTAAGGAGAGAGAACAATAAAAGAAAAAACATTAAGGAGACAGAAGGTAACGATTGACATTAAATTATTTAACATCGAAGTGGACAGAGAAACAAGAAGCCGAAAGAGAGTTCCACAAACGGGATTTATGGCCACATCTAGTAATTTCAACTGTAAAATGATGACATCTTGCCGTCAATCTAGTGCCACGCTTAAATCCATAAAGTCTAGGTACCATATGATCTACGATATTGAACGTTGGGTTGATGCTGGATATGTCGTTTACAAGACCCAAGAGTCACTCGAGGAAGAGGCTTACAGAGTAAGAGTTAAGGAGCAAAGTTTATAAGGATATATGTAGACGATAACGCTTGACGCTAGATTTGAATAGGTTAAGATTATATCGATAGTGGAAGCACCCTCTTGGGAGTCGGTCACATAAACTGTGGTTAGTGCGACGTAGCTGCTCGAGTGGAACTTACATCGCAACAACGGAATACGAATGTAGTGAGGGTGGTTAGCTACAATGGCGTGTCTTAGACGCAAATGTTAGAACTGGTGAAACTAAGGAATATAGTTTGTCTCAATACTTTTAATTGAAATAGCCTTACAGCAGCCTGAAACTTGCGACGTTTCATCGGTGAGAAAGGAGGTGTCCGGTGGTAAATAATTCGTCAACAACACGGACGAGGAGACCCTTTTGGACCCTATTGAGAATGGAAGGTAAAGTTTGGTCAGCGCTTGTCCATATAAAGCAGCAGTACTCTTTTCGTCCCGATCTGGCTCTTATAAGCTAGAGGATAGCAGTAGTTAAGGACTTGAGCGAAACATGGAACCGACCATGTTTCCAGCATCTTTAGCGATGGTTCCACTGGTTTAATCTTAAGTCCTAATAGTAACTCAAGGCGTGGAGCATCCCTGGGAGAACCAAAGCTTATCGCGATAGACGAAATTTCAGTATCCGTTCGTAGCTTCAACCATTGTTGGTCGTTTTCAAGAAAACAAGATAGAAAGTTAGGAGATAGCCAATGTATCATTTGTTAACGTTAATGGCTGATGTGTATGTTTCTGGTTGATACAACATTAAACCGTTTGTTAAAAGAACTGGTATTATAAATGGCCAATCGTGAATTGTTTATCTTTTGTTTATGTTACAGGAAAACATTTTTATTGTCTGCCGATATTTTAATTTGATTATGGCGGCGATATGTAGAACGATGTTTCTGATACATAAATATTTTTTCCTTTGAATACGAGCCCCATTCTCGCAAGAAGTGTCATTTTCATGAGGGAGAAAAATATTGAAGATAAAACCATAAATAGGCAATCGATCTTGATTCTTTAGGAGGTTTTTCATCACAAATCAGAGTTGGATTTTTTTTTATATTCTTTGGGGATTGAATTATGAAGTGAGTTGGGTTTTTTTTATGAAGGTTAAAAGAAATAGGTGAATAAAATGTTTTTTTTTTATATAAGAAATTAAGGCAAGAATTATTCTAAGTAAGAGAATTGTTATCTTTTGCATATTTCTCTGCGTAGTAGTAGTAGTCGTAGTACAGTTCTCCGTGTCCTGAATAGCAACCAGGTTTGCTAGGCATAGCCACCTGATGTTCGCTATTTGTTTTCTATTTATATTTCTCTATCTAATTTGCATATGATACTACAAGAATAATAACCAGTTTCCTGAAGAAGATTCTTGATGTGAACTATGAAAAAAGAGAACATAAAAATGTAGGAGAAAAAGAAAGAAAGAAATACATGAAAGAAACAGACGAATATTATCTGATGGACATGTTGGGATGAAAAATTAAAAACGATCAATTGCTAAGGGGGGAAAATGGTTCACTGTGTCGCGCCAGACAATTCTTCTCATCAGAATCCGGTTTACGGTCACATCACGATGAAACACTTCTTTCTGAATTGTAAGTCGGATAGCCGAGTTTCAGTTCCCATCAGGGTCGTCATATTCACATGCGTAAATAGCTTTGGGAAATGTATGAATCCACATCATCTCCCTCCAGCTATGAGTTAATTAGTAAGATTTATATTACCAAAACCATTATTATCTAAAAAAAAAATATCTGAAAATCTAAAAATATTTTCTGGCCTGCAAAGTTTTCATAAACGAATCAAACAATCAATTCGTCGGAATCCCACTTTCACATTTATAAATCTGCGATTAATCAGTTCATTGAATATTTCTACCGTATCTATTCTGGTATTCCGACTGTATATCTTAAAATTCTTGACAAAATTCAAAGAAGGATCTCTAATTTAATCGTTTTTGACTTCAGTCACTTTCTCACCGTCTTGACATGGCTTCCCTCTGGCTTTTGTACAAATCTTTCCATAGTAATTATTCTTATGATCTCTTCTCATTAATGCTTCGGTTGCATTGAATTATTGTTCGAAAATGAAATGATATTGTTACATTATCAACGCTTGCATGATCGGGTTGTCTAAGGAATATTTCAATACTAGTCTAAAATTACAAAGGATATTTCTGTCAAGCCGATTTTATATAAAATCATCTCACTCCAAGCAATGCACTAATGCCATTAAAAGTGAAAGAGAATGAGAATATTTTAGTGAGGAGAAAGAACAGGTTTCAGGAAGAAAGAAAAAGGCGATAATGATATTAAGACGCAAGGTGGTTACTGGGAGTGAAAGAGAATGAGAAGATTTTAGTGAGGAGAAAGTACAATAAAAGAACAGGTTTCAGGACAGCAGAAGATGTCGGTTGACGTTGCATTTAATTTAGAAAGAGGCAATTTTGCCGGTCCCGGTAGAATAGAGAAACATGCCTTTAAACTTATTTTACCGGCCGCGATGAAATAGACCCCCAGGTTATTTTTCCCGGTAAATATTTTTATTAATATGAAGCCAGGTAATGTTAAAAATAAAAACACACAGATTTAACAGAAGTTTGTTTATTTCCACCATTATTGTTCAAACAATTTAAACTCTTTTTCACCGTCAATTGTTAAAACACGAGTTAAAATCAATTATTCATCATCAATTATTAAAAGAAATATAGAATTTTCTGAATATTTTAAGCATAACACTTTCTGCAAATCTGAAATCTGCCCTTGGGAATGGTTCTCTTGCAAATACACTTCAGGTGCACCCACTGAAGACAACAGTTAGAGACCACAGAATCCATGTTTTTCAAGTCGTGCCTACAACTCACGCAACCACTGCGCTGACGACCTTAAGGCTTTAGAAACATGTTGCCCAGCTTTCCAAATATATGAATCAAAATATCTGCGGGTCTTCTGGATAAAAAAAAAGGAACAGGCTATTTTACCAGTCCTGGTAAACATACTTTTAAGCTTATTTTAGAGGGCTTGGTAAAATAGACCCCCCCACCAAGGGTATTTTACCAGTAAATATTTTTATCATTATGATGACAGGTAATGTCAAAAATAACACACAGATTTAACACAGGGGTTTATTTATTTTCACCATCAATTGTTAAGACAATTTAAAATCTTTTTCACCATCAACTGTTAAAACACAAGTTAAAATCATTTATGCATCATCATCTATTAAAAGAAATATAGAAGTCTCTAAATATTTTAAGTACTTCAGATATAAAAGTATCTGCAAATCCAAAACTTGTTCTTGAGTATGGTTCTCTTGCCAATACTCTTCAGGTGCACACAGAAGACAACAATCACAGACCACAGAATCCATGTTGTTCAGGTCTTTCTGACATGGCTCACACAACCATTGCAATGATGATCATTATCACTGACAAAGTAACCAAATATCTATAGATCCCTGTCACTAGATGATTTCTTAATGAATGGCGTTGACTCATCA